CCTATGAAGCTGCTTCCACGGCTCCGCGAGGCCTCTGTCTATCTGAGGGCCCAGGACAGCCGTGGCAGGGTGGCTCCTGGCCTGTCCTCCCCAGGAAAGCTTCAGAACAGCTCCTGAGAACACAATGGGGATGAAGAGAGCCCTGAGGACAGCAGCCGCGGGAGCCCCGGACCTTGTCCAGGCCCCCAGGCCCGAGTCTCAGTCCTCAGGGGGCCACTTCTGCTCAGCACAGCACCCCCAGAGGATCAGGAGCAAGATGAGGGGCCTGATCCCGTTCCCGCCTGACTGGAACGGCACCCACTTGGCCCCAGCAGGGCTGGTGCCCCGCAGCGTCGTCCCCAGGGCCCGGCGGCTCTGCCAGCTGCACAGACAGCTCTGTGGGGGGCTCCTGGAGGCGAGGAATGGGCAGGCACAGAGAGAGCCCCGAGCAGTCCTGTGTTGGCAGCTTTGCCAGCAGACGCGCCCGCACGTCCCAGAAGCGGGTCTGAAGGCAGCAGTGGAGCAACATCAGCATCGTGCTGGCGAAATGCGCAGGAGCAGCCGCGACCGATCAGGCCCTGGGAGCTCCGGAGCATCCTTTATTTTCTGAACATTCAGGAAGGATGGAGGCTACTGGAGACAGAGGCTTAGGATCAAGCACATTTTCTATGCCTCAGGAAAGGCAAGGAGCTGGCGCAGAGCCACACCTGTGATCCCAGCACTTAGGGAGGCTGAGGCGGGAGGATCACTTGAACTCAGGAGTTCAAGGCCAGCCTGGGCCGCATAGGGAGGCCATCTCTATGATAAAATAAAAATATTTAAAAGGGCAAAGGAAAGACCAGCATGGGTTCCTTCTCGGTGACAGTGCCAGGGCCCACGCTGGCTCTGCTGAGGGAGGCCAGGCATGGTGGTGGCCCAGCCTACACCTCCCCGTGGCTCTTGGGTGGCTCAGGTCAGCGGAGCCATTCTGAGGTGTGGGAGGTGAGGAGGGTGAGGGAGGTGAGGACGAAGCCCGGGCCTGGGGATGGCAGGGGAGTCTGAAAGGCCCCCGTGTGACTCGTGTCCCCCCGCGTATTCCTGCTGACTTCTCCAGGCCCTGCCCTGCGTCTCTAATGAGCCACACTTCTCAGCTGACTGACCGACTCCTAAAGACTAATGCCCTGTGTCTGGTCACCTCCGAATGAGACTGTTCTCGTCCCCTTAGGGCCAATAACGTTTTATTTTTTGAATCCACTTAAATGAAATCAACATTTCTGCTTCGGCCTTCCCTCCCCCTGGCCAGGTCCTGGGCCTGCTGCGGTCGTTCTTGGGGCTGGCCTGGCCCGAGCAGCCTTGTTGATTCTGGCAGTGTCCCTGCTTGCTGCCTGGTGCCCTACACAGGTGACTAGGGAGTCTAATTGAGTCCGCCGTAAAAAGATAATGAATTGGCATCCCCTCCAGAGCGGTCGAGCTGCCCGATCCCGTCCCGGGCTGGCTCTCAGCCTCTCAGTTCCTGAGGCCCCATCGAGGTCGTACGGTGACCTTTATCTTGCTTATAAAGCCGTAATTGATGTAATTAAAACTGGCATAAAGGCTTTGGAAGCCACTCCTGAGAGCTGGGCATGGGCACGCCTGCTGGGAGCCCTGCCTCAGTGGGTCGGCCTGGCCGGGAGATGATGAGCATGGCCTTGAGTCAGGGAGTACCCCAGACACTGCCAGGGACCCTCACTCTCCTCCATGAGTGGTTCCTCTGGGGCCCGTGGAGCCCAGAGTTTGATGAGCTGATGTGTCTGTCACAGAATTTGTCTCCCTGAGCCTTGGAGTGAGGCCCACTCAGGCTGGCGGGCGCCACTCAGACAGGGAAGAGAGGGTCTCCACTGACAGTGGGCACTGTGCTGTCTGAAGGCGTCTCTGCACCTCAGCTTTTCTGAGTTTAATGCCTTTGGGGGGCACTCGCCATCAGACTTTTAGCCTTTTCTTTCTTTCTTTTTTTCTTTTTTTTTTTTTTGAGACGGAGTCTCACCCTGTGGCCGGGCTGGAGTGCAGTGGCGCGATCTCAGCTCCCCGCAACCTCTGCCTCTTGGGTTCAAGCGATTCTCGTGCCTCAGCCTCCCGAGTAGCTGGAACTACAAGCATGCACCACCACACCCAGCTAATTTTTGTATTTTTAGTAGAGATGGGGTTTCACTATGTTGGCCAGATGGTCTCCATCTCCTGACCTCCTGATCTGCCCACTTTGGCCTCCCAAAATGCTGGGATTACAGGTGTGAGCCACCGCGCCCGGTCCCTTTTAGCCTTTTCTTTTCAGTGGTTTGGCCTAATGGGAGCAAATTTGCAGACGGGGGCACAAGCAGGATGATGCCCAGGAAGGGGGTGATGTTGGGGGGCAGCTACACTGTGACTAGCAAGTTGGCTCAGCCGGGCACCTGGCCATTGCACGGTCAGCAGCGTGCCCAGGACCAGTTGGGGAGCGCTGGGGACAAGACAGGGAAGTGGGCTCTGCTGGGGACAGATCCACAAAGGGGAAGCTGGGCAGCAGGCAACAGGCGGGACACAGCAGGGCTAGGAGAGGCTCCGTCGGGAGGGGCCACCAGACCAAGGCAGTGTGGGGACCGGGACGGAAGGGCGAGGCCAGCCTGCACCAGACAAGCAGCAATGCCAGGGCCAGAGGGACCAGGTGGAGACGGGCAAGGAGGAGAGAGAGGACTGGAGGACAGCCTGCGTCATGGCCTCGTGGCTGGTATCATGGTCTACACTATGGGGCCTCTGTGGCAGCCCTCACCATGGCCTATGTGGTGGCCTGTGTGGTGGCCATAGGTCGTGGTCTTTGTATGGTAGCTTGTGTGGCCCCACGTCATGGCCTGTGTGGCAGCCTGTGTGGCCACCCTCACCATGGCCTATGTGGCAACCTGCATCATGTGGTGGCTTGTATGGCAGCCTGTGTGGCGTCCTGTGTGGCAGCCCTCATCGTGGCCTGTGTGGTGGCCTGTGTGGCAGCCCAACATCATGGCCTGTGTGGTGGCCTGTGTGGCGGCCCTCATCGTGGCCTGTGTGGTGGCTCACATCATGGCCTGTGCTCACATTACAGGAAAAGCCTCTGGCCATGTGGAGCTGGTGAGTGACAAGGTCCACCTGCTACCTTGAGTCCTCCATGTGCTGGAGACAAACAGTGGGTGACAGGACCAGGGGTGCTGGAGGCCTAGGGACCCACTGCAGTCCTCTGAGCCACAGATGATGGCCCAAACCCCAGGACTGCAGCCATGGAGGTGCCCACGAGGAGGATCTGAGAAGTTTGGGGAGACTTGTGTGGGCGGAGGGGTGTCATGGAGTGAGGGGAGGAGTCAGTGACCAGGGGGAGGGCAGGCCCCTCACCAAGGGGAGGCTGAGCTGGAGGAGGGACTCAGCTCTGCTCTGGTGTCTGCAGGGTGTGGGAGGCGCAGTACACAGCATGAGGGGCTGCTGGCTGCCAGGGCTGGGTGTGTGGCCCCTGAGGAGGCAGGTGAGGGGTCATCTGGCTGAACGTGGTGCTTGTGTCCATGGCAAGCGAGGTGACCGTCCAAAGGGGTCTGAACAGAAGAGAGGCCAGCCTGCCCCAGGGACAGCAGCCTCCGAGGTCCCCTGGGGCCCAGGGGCAGGAGGAAACAGGGCCTGTGGGGACAGCGGCCATCTGTAGCCAATGACACTGGGGGACAAGTAGGGGCTCAGGCCAGGGCCACCCTGACGTCAGCAGCAGAGCCCAGGCGCAGCCTTGGAAAATCTGCCTCTTCAGCAAACGCAGAGAAGCCGTGCGGCAGGGGTGCCTGCTTCTGCACAGAGGGTGCCCTGAACAGGAGCAGCTGAGTGGATTTCAAACTTTGCTCCACAGAGAGCAGCCCCGCAGGACACTTTGGCTGGGCCTTCCTGTGCCCTCGTTTTCTTTAGGGGATGTGCAAGCTCGTGTGGCGTTTCTGGCCCAGCATCAGGCAGGGGCCAGGCCGGGCTGAGCTCCGGACCCTTGGCAGGGGAGGGACTGACCTGGCTTCCGTGTGAGGGTCCCGTGTAAACAATGGACTGAAGAGCGAGGGGGACCCAGGAGTTGGGCTCCAGCTGAGGGCAGTGCCAGTGACTTGGTGGGAGACGCTGGGGCCTGCCGGGGGTGTGGCAGGGCAGTGGGCAGCCTTGGGGGTCCGGGCACAGATACGTTTTGAAGGCAGCCTTGATGTCAGCCTTGTTGTTGCAGCTGCAGTAATTGTGGGTGCATAGGATATGGGGCAGGGGCAACTGGAGGCTGACCCCAGACTTTCAGCTTGAGCACCTGGGGGGTGTGGTGCCAACCTCGGGGAAGGCGGTCACAGCCAGGACCCGGGGGCCGCCGCGGGCAGCCTGCAGCCCCGACTCGGGGAGTTCATGGCAGAGGTGGACCTCTGTCTCTCATGGCCAGGCAGCCCCCCAGTGTGACAGCAGAAAGGCCCCCTCCATGGGCCTGTGCCATGTGGCGGTCAGAGCCTGAGGGAGGGGGAGGTGACATCCAGAAGAAAGAGACACAGTGTGGGCTCCTGGATCCAGATGTGCTGGGATCTAGAAGGTTCCTCCGAGCTCCAGGCTGTGGACAACACTCCCCTTCCGCTTTTCACTATTTCTCGTTTCTCTTGCTTGCAACAAAAGCGTCTTGGCCAACCCAGAGGGCCTCCTCTTCACTCTCAGACAGGGACCACACACAGGGGTCTGCCTGCACCTCCAGGGAACCCCCCATGTCAAACCCACATGGGCTCAAGGAACCCGGCTTTACAGGCCCTGGTGTCCTCTGTCTTCTTCCTGCTGAACTGAAAGCCGTTAGTTTCTGTTTGTGCTGCGCAGGGAGGCCTCCCTTTACCGGGCTGAGCCTTGGCTGCTTATCAGCCAGGGGCAGTCACGACAGAGCCTTTACTCTGAGGAGAGCGGGGATGTTGTGAGAACCTGCCTGAAGGCGCCTGGCACTAGCCATTGTGATCACCAGGCAAAGGAGGCTCTTCAAACAGCTTGGCCGGAACCCCCAGCCTCAGCGATGCAGACACCCTCCAGGCTCCAGGTGGATGGATGTTTATTTACACACCAGGAATGCCTGCTGGGCTTCTAAAAATACATTTTCCAATCTCCCACCTTGCCCTCGGAAATGGCACGTGGCAGGTGGAGGTCTGAAGCCCCGCCGCCATGTGAACCACGCATACTCGGGGCTCAGGATCCGGGCCCGTTCTGGAGCAGTCACCTTGCCGAGGGTGAGGGCGTCGGCATGATCAGGATACAGAGCTGGCGTCTTTATTGCCCAGGGGGTGTCGATAAAAGACGCAGTCCAAGTTAGCTCCAGTGCAGTCCATGTGGAAACCATCGGTGCGTTAAGAAATGGAAATTATGCCATCAGCAGTGCAGCTCCCGGCCATCGCCCCGGACGTAAATAGTGCCGGGCCAGCAAAAGCTGCCGGGAGAAGGATGTCGGTTAGAGTGTCCTTGCAGAGGGGGGACTCTCTCTATAATGCACCATAATGATTAAATTAAGACGCCTCCGAGAGAGATAATTCTCCCACCCGTAATTTGGAGATACTTCTGAGGCTGGTTCTCCTCAGTGCCTCTGTCGCTCCTTACAGAAGTTGGGCTCCGGGAAAGGGGTGTTAATGCCTCCATCCCCAAGGTCCTATCCAGCGCCCTCCACTCACTCAGAGCCCCACGGAGGCGGCTGCCCCAGGGCCCCACGTGAGGGTTCTGCCTCCTGGGATCCGGCCACAAATGAAACTGAGCCCAAACAGACCTGGGCTCCTGTGCACCCCTCAGCAGCCCCCGACTCCTCCTTCCCTCCAGGGCACTGTCCTGGCTCCACCCTTCTATCCACCCTGGAGCTGGGTCTCTTCTGTTTTTTGACGGTGTCACTGCCTGGTGGGGACACTTGTTTGTGGCCCTAAAGCCACCACACCAGCCCCTGCCTCCCTCTCAGAACTCCCCCATCCAGCCGACTCTGGAGCCGACCTTCAGCCCTCAGCACATCCCATGGCCTCCTGCTAGCACCTCCTACCAGTGGTGTGTGCAAGGGGAGGGCCCTCGGGGCAGGGACGTCAGGAGAGCCCCGGCTGCCGGTGGGAGAGTGGGTTCCGATGTGTGTGTGTGTGTGTGGAGGGGCTGCACTGAAGTTATCTGCTTCAGGCTCAGCCACTGACCGTCCTTGTAAAAGACACAGCAGGGTAGTCCCCGGGGGCTGTAGCTCCATCTGTTGGTGGGCGGAGCCAAAGGGAAGCCCCCATACCTCACACCCTGGGATCCTGGGAGAGGGGCTGAAGAAAGCTAGGATGGGCAAGGGGCTGCAGGGGTCCCACTGAGGGATGCACAGGCTGAGCCCGCCCACAGCCTCCTCCAGTGCCTGAGGGCTTAGGGTCTGCTGCCACTTGGAGGGACTGGCAGCCACCCCCGGTTTCTCCCCTCCATGCTGGTGGAGAACAGGGCCCAATGCCAGGCCCATCTCGACGCATCGCTGGAGCAGAACCGTCTTCCTCATGCTACACTCAGAGGAGGGCACGTGGCTATGCTGCTGAGCACCGGCCTCTCTGGCCAGGGTCCGAGGCCCGGCCCTACCCTGGAAGCGAGTGCCTCGGCTGGCAGGGGGCTGCAGATGGGAGAGCCTTCCTGTCACAGAGCACTGGGCTCCCAGGTGCTGGGGTGGACTCAGAAGGGAATGGGGGCGTCACGGGGCCGTGGACACGAAGGACCCCCACCTCCACTGTCGGTGGCCAGAGGGAGCACCCAGGAGGGACAGTCCCTGCCCCCTGACCTGCCCCCACCAAGACGGCGTCGCTGCTGACGTCTGTGCCCGCTGCCCTGGCCAGAGCCACACTTCAGCACAGCCATGCAGGGCTCCCTCTGTCTCCGTCCCGAACCCCTCACAGGGCCCTTCTTCATTCTGTCTCCTCAGCCGGGGGACACACGCCCCATTGTCCCGGGGCCTGTCAGCAAGTGGATCAGGGCTGTGCCGAGTTCACCGATGTCCTACTGGGGCCGCCCCCACCCGGGTACCACCCCTTCCTGTTCCTGGACAGCCTCCACAAGGTGGGTGCCCATGGGGGGCGGAGAGGCCACCCCACATCACTCAGACGGTCCCTGCCCACCCACCACCTCAACACCCAGGCCACGTGTGCCAGGGGGGTTTCGAGCAGAGCTCCTGGGCCCCCCTTCTGAGCCTCTCCCTCTCCCCTCCTCCTGCCCAATCCTTCTAGAAGGCAAGCAGCAGATCCAGAGGCGGCTTGCACCCCAGGGGGACACCACCCACTGCACAGGAGCCGCCTGGAGGCAGCAGGTAGGAGTGTCCCACCCCACTGGCAGGCATTTGGAGGGTCAGCTCTGGCCTCCTCATCAGCTGGGCCAGGAGGACGGGGAAGGCCCAGGGGAGCCAAGGACCTGGTCTGAGAAGGCAGTGAGCCTACACGGGCCTCGCTTCAGGGACCCCCCCACCAGGGTCTCGAGGGGCTGACAGCTGCCCTGTGACTTGCCTGGGCTGGTACAAAGTGGGCGGAGCTGGAGCCGGTCCATCTGCTTCGATCACTACAACCCCCAGACAGCCGGGTGGACCAGACTATGGGCACGCAGAGGCAGAGAGGCAGGAGGAGCCTGGGGGCTCCCAGAGGAAGGCGGCTGGTGGCCAGGGTTCAGGGCAGTGGTCTAAGGGGATTCTGTGAGCTGGAGGACAGGAGCAGGACCAGGTGCACATGGTGGCACGTGCAAGTGGGAACACCATGGGGGTTTGTAGTTGTCACATCTCACCATCCTGGGCCTGGCAGTGCTACGGGCACAGCACATGCAGGGTCATAACCGGCTGGTTCTACTGGGAGGAAACTGGGGCTTGGGGCCCAGCAACAGCTTCCTCCTCAGGTCAGGACTCTGTCTACAAACTGGAGGCAGCTGTGCACTGGGCTGGGCTGGGCTGGGGAGGCCCCCGCTGATGTGCCCTGGGGACCCGTCCCTCCTGGCCTGAGCCCGAGGACACAATGGCTTGTCCCACCAACCCTCACCTGGCCCCGCAGGCTGTGGAGGAGCTGCTGGGTTGCTCACAGAGTGACCAGCACCCATCCCGCTCCCACCCGCCTGCCAGGCACTCGCTGTTTCTTTTTTTTTTTTTTTTTTTTTTTTTGAGATGGAGTCTTGCTCTGTTACCTGCCCAGGCTGGAGTACAGTGGCGCGATCTTGGCTCACTGCAAGCTCCTCCTCCCGGTTCACGCCATTCTCCTGCCTCAGCCTCTCAAGTAGCGGGGACTACAGGCTCCTGCAACCACACTCGGATAATTTTTTTTTTTTTTTTTTTGTAATTTTAGTAGAGATGGGGTTTCACCGTGTTAGCCAGGATGGTCTCAATCTCCTGACCTCGTGATCCACCCGCCTCGGCCTCCCAAAGAGCTGGGATTACAGGCGTGAGCCACCGCGCCCGGCCCAGGCACTCGCTCTTGTTTTCTTGGGTGGAAGCTGTGATGTTTGGGATTCCTGACTGGGGCAAAACATTCTGGTGACGCAGTGCACAGACTCGGCTTTGGTGACGCGGTGCACAGACCCCGCTTTGGTGACGCGGTGCACAGACCGTGCAGGAAAAATCACCTGCTCTTGAGAGACATGGGTCCTCCTGGGACAGGGTTGGCACCGGGGGCCTTGGGCAAGGCAGGTGGGTGGAGAACCAGACCCCTGCAGTGGCCACAGAAGGGCTTCAGGGGCAGAGGAGGGCTCCAGGCATCCCCAGCGCTTCCCCTGCCTCCTGCCGGCTCCACAGCCACACAGCTAGGGCCCTCCCATTGTGTTGGGGCAGGCGTCCCAAAACGAGGCCTGCTCCCTGCAGGGAGCCCCGCCTCTCTGTGCAGCTGGGCTTACTCTCCTGGGTACGGAAACCCTGGGGAGTCTTACCAATGGCGAGCTCCCCGTAAGCTCTGCCCGCTCCTGGAGGGAGTACCCAGCATGGAGGTGAAGGGCCGCACATTTGCAGGCCTCTCCACCATGGATCCTGGGGTGGCAGTGGCTTAGAGACAAACCTGGGCCTGTGCCTCTCGTCCTTGCCAGAGCCTGGCACCCCTGCCCCCACCAGCGGGTCATTGCAGCCACGTGATCCCTTGCCGCCCTCGCACCTGCTGCCCCCCACCACCCAGAGGCCTTCAACTGTGGCTGACCAGGGCGTCGACCTCACGACCTCTTCCAGGGCCTCCCCAGCTCTGTCCCTGCTGAAGCCCCCCACAACCCATCTGGGTGTTTGTGCGACGGCCCCCTCTTAGGAAAGAGTGGGGGACCCTGCCTGAGGCTCCCCGCGCTGTTGCCCCCGTGCCTTCTGCCTGCTGTGCGGTGAGGAAGAAGCACCTGTCCCTCTGGTGTGGGTCCCAGCTTCCTGAACCAGCGTCCAGACCTGTCTCTGGGCCCAAAGAGCCCATTTTTCAGAATTCTAAGAAAGCCATTCTTTCCAGCAGCCAACCTGGCTCTGGCAAATCCAAAAGCCCTCGAACACTCAGTCAGCTGCGTCTGGTTTGCATTTAAGGAACCCTCACTGTGTCGTGGCCGAGTGGTTCCAGGCAGGGTCCCCAGCCCGTGCCAGGCACAGGGGAGGGCTGTCAGCAGGCAGGGCCGGGCAGGGCGGGGCAGGGCTGGAGGAGTGGAAGCTCCTGGCACTTTTGGGTCTGCCGCTTCTGACTGACGCACTTGTGAATGGGGTGGAGAAGGGCAGGGGCTGCGGCCGGCTCTCAACGCATCCTTGGGCTCCAGCCTCAGCAGCAGCGCCTTGAGCAGGGATCCTGCCGCTAGCACCCTGGAGTCCCAGGAGACCCCTCAGGTCCGAGACCTCCCTCGGGTCCCCCCACAGTGTGGCCCTGTGACTGACAACTTTGTTCTGCACGAGCCGTGGCCCCTGCCCTGGCACGGTCCTGTATTGTTCTAGCGTCTCCAGGCCCGAGGCCACTCCCTGCACTCACCAGCTGTCCCCAGTTGCCATCGCCGGGGACCCCCTTTCTGTAATGGGGAGGCTGCTTCGGGAGCTGGGCCTGGGGCTGACCTGGCTGCTGGGTCCCCACTGCTGGGCACAGAGGACGTGGGGCCAGCCCAGGTCCTGCTCGGCATGCCCACCGGCCAGCATAATTACGCACCAGGAGCAACTCTAGGCCGGAGACCGACGCTCACTGCACTTCCTGCCTGGATCCTTTCTGGCCACCCCCAGTCACCCCCCCGCCCCACTCAACATGTGGCCACCTTTTTATCCTTCCTAAGGACCCCAACAATGCCAGATTCCTGGGTTCCGTTTCTTTATAGTCCCACTCTCCAGTTCCAGAGCAAGTCCCCTGGGGGACCCGTGGGGGTTGGCCAGAGGTCAGTTGGGTGAAGTCTTGGAGGCACCCTCATAGGCAGCCTGGTGGGCTGCACCCCATGGAGGTCACGGAACCCAGTCCCAGCCCCCGATAGAGCTTGGCCCCTCGAGGCACATGAGGCGCAATCTGGGGGCCCCTCTGAGACCCCGGGGTCCTGGCTTTGGCTCCTCCCCTCGTCTCCCCACAAAGCCCCAAAACCTCACTCCCTCATGGAGGTTTTCACCCCCTCCCAGAATCCCGGCAGGAGCTAACAAAGGGGTCTCCCGGCTGTTCCAAATCTGGAGCCACAGACGGGATTCTGCAGTGTGGACAACAGGAGACTGAGACGGGAGTGTGACCCCTTCCATGTCTGGACGCCAGGTCGCGCCCTCCTGGCCCCCAACCTGGGCCTGTGCCAGAGGCCTGCTGTGCCCCTGACAGCGCCACCTATTCCCCCATCATAGAAGCCCAGGTCCTAGCGGCCTGCATGGGGCTGGTGAATGAGAGAAGCAGTGAGTCTGGGCCAGGGGTCCCCCATCCCACTGGAAGGATCTGAGTGTGGACCAAGGGCAGGCAGCATTCCCTCCGGCGCTGGAGTCTGTGAGCCATGGTCAGGGTGGTCGGGCTGTGCTCACCAGGGTGTGCTGAGACTGGGGCTCTGGGGGAGCCATCTGTCCCTCAAAACAGCCACATCTGTGTCCCCTTCGTGCATCTGCACAACAGGAGCTCCTCTCAGCATCCACTGGGTGACGCCGGTGCCCTCAGGAGGACAGGCAGCCCCGCTGGGCACCTGGTGAGCGCCGGGGCACCTGGTGCACTCCCCACCAGGTGGCCCCTCAAAGCCCATATCAGAGCCTGTCACCGTCATCCAGGAGGCTCCAAACAATAGAAACGACTGAAAAAAAAAGGACAAAGATGAAGAGTGACACACCAGCCTGTAATTTTGGGAGAAGCATGTGCGGGAGAGGCGCAGCAGCCGGGGAGGCGCAGCAGCCGGAGAGGCGCAGCAGCGGGTGCGGGAGAGGCGCAGCAGCCGGGGAGGCGCAGCAGCGGGTGCGGGAGAGGCGCAGCAGCCGGAGCGGGAGAGGCACAGCAGCGGGAGTGGGAGAGGCGCAGCAGCCGGAGAGGCGCAGCAGCGGGAGTGGGAGCGGCGCAGCAGCCGGAGCGGAGGCGCAGCGGGTGCGGGAGAGGCGCAGCAACCAGGCGGGAGAGGCACAGGCCCGGGAGTGGGAGAGGCTGTAGCGGAGAGGCGCAGCAGCCGGAGAGGCACAGCAGCCAGAGTGGGAGAGGCGCAGCAACCGAGAGGCGCAGCAGCCGGGAGAGGCGCAGCAACAGGAGTGAGAGGAAGGCGCAGCAGCCAGGGAAGTGCAGCAGCCGGAGAGGCGCAGCAGCGGGAGTGGAGAAGCGCAGCAGCCGAGAGGCGCAGCAGCGGGTGGGGCCAGCGCCCAGCAGCCCCGGGAGCGGGGCGCAGCAGGAGTAGGAGAGGCGCGCGCTTGGAGGCGCAGCCAGCGGGGAGTGGGAGCGGGCGCAGCAGCTTGGAGGCAGGAGAGGCGCAGCAGCGGGAGTGGGAGAGGCACAGCGCCGGAGGCGGGAGGCGCAGCAGCGGGAGTGGGAGGCGCAGCCGGCCGGGGAGGCGCAGCAGCCGGAGGCGCAGCAGCGGGAGGTGGGAGGCGCAGCAGCCGAGGGAGGCGCAACCCAAGCCCAGCTGAGGTAGGACCCAGGCGCAGCAGCCGGGCCAGGAGGCGCATGGCGGGAGTGGGAGAGGCGCAGCAGCCGGAGGAGGCGCAAGCCCAGGAGTGGGAGGCGGCGCAGCCGGGCGGGAGGCGCAGCAGCGGGAGTCAGAGGCGCGCGGAGGCGGGAGAGGCGCAGCAGGCGGGAGTGATGGGAGAGGCACAGCAGCCCCGGAGCGGAGAGCGGTGGGAGTGGGAGAGGCACGCGGAGGCGGGAGAGGCGCAGCAGCGGGAGTGGGAGAGGCGCAGGCCGAGGCGCAGCAGCCGGAGGCGCAGCAGCGGGGAGTGGGAGGCGCAGCAGCCGGGGCGCAGCGGGAGTGGGGCGGCGCAGCAGCCGGAGGCCAGGAGAGCGCAGCAGCGGGGAGTGGAGAGCGCAGCAACCCGGAGAGGCGCAGCAAGCGGGAGTGGGGCGAGGCGCAGCAGCCCCGGAGGCTGAGAGAGAGCGCAGCAGCCCAGGAGTGGGAGGCAGCGCAGCAGCCGAATGAGAGGCGCAGCAGCGAGGCGGAGAAGGCGCTAACATGGGGAGGAGTGGGAGGCGCAGCGCCGGAGAGCGCAGCAGCGGGTGCGAGAGAGCGCAGCAGCGGGGTGGGAGCGCAGCAGCCGGAGGCGCAGCAGCGGAGTGCGGGAGGCGCAGCAGCGGGAGGTAGGAGCGCAGCAGCCAGGAGCGCAGCAGCGGAGTGCGGGAGCGCGCCAGCAATGGTCGCTGAGAGAAAGCGCAGTGGAGTGCAGGAGAGGCGCAGCAGCGGAGTGCAGGAGAGCGCAGCGGGAAGCGGGAGGCGCAGCAGCCCCGGAGCGGGAAGGCGCAGCGGGGCCAGGAGGCGCAGCCGGAGGCGGGAGAGGCGCAGCAACCGGAGAGCGCAGCAGCGGGAGGCAGAGGCGCAGCAACCGGAGGCGGGGCGCATGGCGGGAAGCGGGGAGAGGCGCAGCAGCGGGAGTGGGGCGGCGCAGCAGCCGGGGAGCGCAGCCGGAGAGCGCAGCAGCGGGAGTGGGGAGAGGCGCAGCAGCGGAGAGCGCAGCAGCCCAGGAGTGGGACGCAGCCGGGCGGGAAGGCGCATGGGAAGTGGGAGAGGCGCAGCGCGGAGGCGCAGCAGCGGGAGTGGGAGCGCGCAGCAGCCGGAATGGGAGAGGGCGCAGCAAGCCCAGGGTGGGAGGCGCAGCAGCCGGAGGCGAGAGGCACAGCGGGAGTGGGAGAGGCGCAGCAGCGGGGAGCGCGCAGCAAGCGGGAGTGGGGCGCGCCCAGCGGGAGTGGGAGGCGCAGCAGCCGGGCGCAGCAGCCAGGAGTGGGAGGCGCAGCAGCCGGAGGCGCAGCAACCGGAGGCGCAGCCCAGTGCAGAGGCGGCCATAGCCAGTGCAGAGGCATGTGTGTGGGTGCGGGAGAGCGCAGCAGCGGAGTGCAGGAGAGCGCCAGCCAGGTGCAGGCGCGTGAGGCAGGAAAGCCTTGTGTGAGGCGAAGCGCAGCGGCAGGCGAGAGAGCGCAGCAGCAGGCCAGGAGAAGCAGCAAGCGGGAGAGGCGCCTTAGGTGCGGGAGAGGCGCAGCGGCGGGTGCGGGAGAGGCGCAGCGGCGGGAGCGGGAGAGGCGCAGCGGCGGGAGCGGGAGAGGCGCAGCGGCCGGAGCGGGAGAGGCGCAGCAGCGGGAGCGGGAGAGGCGCAGCAGCGGGAGAGGCGCAGCAGCGGGTGCGGGAGAGGCGCAGCAGCGGGAGCGGGAGAGGCGCAGCAGCCGGAGAGGCGGAGCAGCCGGAGCGGGAGCGGCGCAGCAGCGGATGAGGCGCAGCAGCGGGTGCGGGAGAGGCGCAGCAGCCGGAGAGGCGCAGCAGCGGGAGCGGGAGCGGCGCAGCAGCGGATGAGGCGCAGCAGCGGGAGTGGGAGCGGCGCAGCAGCGGGAGCGGGAGAGGCGCAGCAGCCGGAGCGGGAGAGGCGCAGCAGCGGATGAGGCGCAGCAGCGGGTTTCAATTTACATAAGAAGCACGGCCCACGCGGGAGAAGCATGTGCGTTTGTTACGACTCTCAGGCAGGATCCTGCAAAGTCTTCTTTGCTCCCTAAAATAGACAGAGGAAAGAGGGGCCAACGTTCCTTCACAAGCTGTGCCCCAAGGGAAGCCTGGTTTTTGTGGGCACAGAAGCCATGTCTGCCCTCCCAGAGCCCAGCCAGGGCCACCAGGACCCCTGCAGGCATGCTCTGACCCTCCGAAGCCCTCCAGGGCCTGGTCACCCTTTGTGCAGGGTGGCCAGAAAGGAGGGTCCTGCTGCAAGGGCCCTGCAGACATAGCCAGAGGCCGAGGCCCGGCACCCGCCTGCCAGGGCACCCTCAACTGCCCAGCACGTCCAAGGATGTCAGGGAGCCCCGGGGAGGAGCCCCACCCACCCCTGCGGCCACATGGGGCAGAGTCCAGGCCTGGAGGGCCACGGCTGCCCTGACTCATGCTGCTCTGGCAGGCTGACAGGGAGAGGTGCTGACCGGGAGAGGGGTCCCGAGGTGCTGACCGGGAGAGGCTGCACAAGGGGCTCCTGCGCCATCCGCTGAACCTGGCTCCCAACTCGCTGCCTCACCACGTGCCCCATGTCCACCTGGGGCCGAACCCCAGCTTGTGAGAGGGGAGACAGCGTGGATGGGATGGCCCTCCCTGTAGTGGGCGGTAGACGCAGACCAGACATGAGGGCCCCGCACGTGCCCACCGCCTGCTGCCCTGGGAGGGGACGCGTTTCTGAGAGGGCCTCTGGCTGCATTCCTGCAGAGACATTCCAGGCGTGTTACGGAATTCCACAAAAGGACAAAGCCCTGTCAGTTCCTAAAAGATGTGAAATTATGTCAGCTGCAGAAGAGGGACTCGGTTTGATCAACGTGGCCGTGATTTTGCCCAGCCACACAGGAGAATTCCACAGGAATGGTGGGGGTGGTGCTGGCCCCAGAAATCCTAATTCCATGCTTCATGATAGGAAAATGCGGCCACCCGAGCCCCATCGGCCCGGGACGGGGTCCATCGCCCGACCACAGACACGGGCGTGCGCGGAGACCTTGTGTGTCATTGCTCGCTGGTGGCTGTCAGCATCCAAGCCCCTCCTCCCTCCTCGGCTCCAAGAAAAATGGGCTTAATTAAGACTTCTGTGATTAGTCATTTAATCAGTCATTAGGCCAACACAGATGGAGTCAATTAATTTTTTTTTACTTGAAAAGATCGTGGAAGCTCCACAGCCCACAGAGCCCCTTCCTGGCACCATCGCCAGTGACTGTGGAGTATCCCACACAGGCCTTCATCCCCTTTGAAAGGCCACTGGTGGGGACAGGCACCTGGGCTCCTCACCTGTCCCAGGCCCAGAGGACGCAGGACACCGACCCATTCCTCCGTCATCTGCCGCGAAGAGGTGACAGGAGCCAGGAGAATGGCCTTGGAGCCAGCAGCCACCACTGGTGCCCAGAGACACCTGAGGCAAGAGCCTGAGCACACACCGGGCCTGTCAGGGTTGGCTGGGTCTGAATAGGGACAGGACTTGGGGTGGCAACGTGTCCTTTCTCTGAGCGTGAGTCCTGGCCAGCACCCTGTGGCCAGTTAGGTACAGGCCTGGCCAGCAAAGCAGCCTGTGATTCGCAGCCCAGGCAGGGAGGCCCATGCCACCAGCTTGCCCAGCCGAGGGGTGCGGATGGAGAAAGCACAGAGAAGCCCAGCAACCACTCCCACTCCGGCACCAAGATGGACAAATAGAAAATTCCCACGGGCACAAGCCAGGGGTCCCACTTCACCCGCAGCTCCCCCAGTCCTCTCCTGGGCACGCTGGTCTCCGCCATAAACACACGGACACAGCCCAGCAGCCCAGCTTGCCCCTTGGCCTGAGTCTGGCCTGTTCACTGCTGGTGCCATCTCTGAGCATTCTTGCCAGTGCCTCCTCCACACTGCACCTGCACGGGGCCCAGCCCAGTGGGGCCCTGGAGAACACGATCTGGAATAGACTCTCAACAGACCCAAAGGGGCCCGCATGATGCGGTGGCGACTCTAGTCTCCTCGGCTCACCTGCCCACCCTCCCCAAGGGCTCTGCCTCCTCTCTGGGCCTTGCCACCTGCTGACCCCGAGGTGGCCAGGAGGTCCCACTCAGCCCAGCCCCTCCATCCCCAGGGAAGGCGCCCAAGGGATGCCCTGGCCAGTGAGTCTCAGCCTGCACCTGGCTGTGGTCCTCATGGGATCTGGCCCCGGGGTGGGGGATTGGTGTCCAGCAGGCTGGGGGCTGGGCCCATAGGGAAGAGAGCTCCCAGGACAATGGGGTGGGCTGCAGGGAGAGCACTGGGCAGCTGGGGGCACCAGGGTCCTCAGTAGGCAGCACCAGGCGCCCTGGCCCCACTGCTGGAAGCACCTCCAAGTGGGAGTTGAGCCACAAGAGAAAGGGATTGACTGGGTTCTTCTTTAGAAACTTTTTTTTTTTTTTTCTGAGACGGAGTCTCGCTCTGTCGCCCAGGCTGGAGTGCAGTGGCCGCATCTCAGCTCACTGCAAGCTCCATCTCCTGGGTTCACGCCATTCTCCTGCCTCAGCCTCCCAAGCAGCTGGGACTACAGGTGCCTGCCACTGCGCTCAGCTAATTTTTTTGTATTTCACCATGTTAGCCAGGATGGTCTCGATCTCCTGACCTCGTGATCTGCCCGCCACGGCCTCCCAAAGTGCTGGTATTACAGGCAAGAGCCACCGCACCCGGCCTAGAAACTTTTAAAGGTTGAAAAACGAGCCCTGTCTTGTCCAAGCAGGGATACTAAACCAAAGCAGGTGTGAGGGCTAGGCAGGAACAGCTGGGCCCGCGGATGTGCCCAGCGCTCAGGGGGATGTGCAATGATAACCCCACAGCAGACGGCGGGGCTGGGGCAGGGCAGCTGTTAACTCTTCGCACGCCTGCACCGGCAAGTGCCCACAGGTGAACAGGCGCCCCCAAACAGAGAACACCCCTCAGGCTTTCCAAGGCCTGAAGCTGACTGCCCACGGGGGACAGGGCACCCGGGGGTCCGCGGCGGTTGCCTCCCCAAGGCCTGGGGCCAAGAATCCAAACTCTGACCTTCAACCTGGGAAAGCGGTCATCTCCCCGGGTACAGAGGCCTGCAGGTGCAGAGGGGCCTCCCTGGGAGGCCTCCCCTGGCAACGTGGCCCCCAGTTCCTCGGCCCAGGCCAGGGGCACGAGGCCTCTGTGGTGCCGACATGTTCTCCGGGGGCTCCACGGGGCAGGACACACAGACTGTGCTCTGGGAGAGGAGCTGGGGCTGGCGTCTGCACCCATCTGTGTCTGTGCCTGGGGCTGTTACAGAAAGCACTGGCTCCCGGCTCTCATTTCTTGGGGATACTAAGGAGGTGACGGCGGCTTCCAAGCTGGCCCCAGATCTGCGGCCAAGGGTCCTGATTTTCAGACTTTCACAGGGGCTCCCAGGTCTGCAGAAAACCCTAGGGTGTGGCTCCTGCGCAGCAGGTGGGAAAGCCTGGGCCCTTCTCTGAGAGTCACACCCCCCCACCTCCAGGTGACAGATTCCTCCTGATTGTGTCTTGCTTGGCTCTTGCCTCACCAGCTCCCGGCACATCCTGGTGGCCCTAGAGGCCACGTGGAACCCCAGAGCTGGGCAAAGGCTCCTGCCCCTTGTCACCAGGATCTGCCTGGATTCTCTGACTCCCAGGCATGACCCCTGATGGCTCCAGTGGGCGCCCTTCTCCAGGAGCTGGGACACCAGGCCAGGCTGCAGGAAGGGGTCCCCTGGGCCTCACACCCTGGCCATGAACTGCCCTCCCTGGCCTGGCAGCAGACTGGCCTCAGGCCCAGCTCTAACTTCATGCCCAGGTCAGGGCACGCCAAAGCCATGCATGAGGAACATGTCCACGTCATAGACTGGAAGACTGAGGACAGCAAAGGCCGAGCCCAGGCCCGAAGGAGCAGGTCCGGGTAGACAGGGTCAAGGGCCTTGGCCCGAAGGAGTGGGTCCGGGTAGACAGGGTCAAGGGCTACAGGCTGCCAGAGGTCCCTTGCTGGGCCTGCACTCGGCCAAGGCCTCTCTGACGCGGTTCCCTGGAGCTCTGCTCGGGGCTCACTGCTGTCTGCACAGAAGCCTGTGAGGAGCTCCTCGGGGGACCTCTTGGCTTCTCGGAGCATCTGGCCTGGGAAGGTGCAGTGAGGGGGGCTGCCAAGGCCAGGAGCTCACTTGGCGACGCCAAGATGCAATGCAGGGCCTTGGGAAAAGCAGCCCTTACCCATCAGGGTGGCCAGTTTGGCCGACAGTCCACTCTGGTCACTGCCAGAGGCACAGGCAAGAGGAGGGAGCCGGGCGCAGCACCTGTTGGCCTTGCAGAGGTGGTTGCCTGCCCACCATGCCTGTCCCTCCTCACGGCCCTCCACCTGCGCCGCCTCGTCCACCTCATCTCCTGTCTGTGCTTCTAAAAGCCACAGAGGCCACTCGCAACCGGCCACAGCCTCTGGGCCTGGGGTCGGCAATGGAGCCTTTGCAGCCTGGACACCGCCCACTGTGTTTCTGTGTTTCTGTGTGAGCGCTGGTGTGTCCAGAGCACGCGTCTGTGGGAGCAACACAGGGCTCAGACATTCAGCGCTGCAGAACGGCCACACATAGACCCTGGGTGAGGCCCGGACTGCTGTGTCTTCACCCGGGTCCCCAGACACTGACCCCGACGGGGAGGCCGAGACTGCCAGGCTGATGCTGGGCCAGACCTCCGAAGGTCAGGAGGGAGCAGGATGTGTCTGTGTGGTGGTGGCAGCTGCTGCCTCGGACAGAACTGTCAGGAAACGGCAGCGGGGTGGTGCGGACTCACTGGGGCCTCCAGTGTCAGGGCCGTCATGGCCAGTGACTGAGGGACAGCAGTGAGGGGCTGGCGCCCACCTGAAGGTGCAGTCCCAGGCACGCAGTGGGCGCCCAGACGCCCTCCAGGCCACTGCCTGCACCGCCTCCCCATGTGCGGTCTCTGCGGACGCTGGCCTCGGGCCTGCTCGCCGTCCGTGGGGCACCGATGCCTGCGTGGACACTGGCCTCGGGCCTGCTCGCCGTCCGTGGGGCACCGATGCCTGCGTGGACACTGGCCTCGGGCCTGCTCGCCGTCCGTGGGGCACCCATGCCTGTGAATCTGCACTGCCTCCTCCCTAGGCCGAGACTCCCGAGCTCCTTCCTGGCTCTGCCTGTGTTTTCCTCAAAGCCCTGGGGGTTCTGTAAAAACTCGCAGGATTCCTGTAATCCTGCTTCTTTCTCTAAGGCTGGCAGCCTGGCCGACTAGTTACTCTTGGTGCTGAATTACGTACCCCGCTTCCCCTCCTTGCCCGCACTCCTGTGTCTTACATGGATCCTGGAGCCCAG